TTATTTTATTTTATTTTATATTCATAATTATATTCATTATTTTATTTAATTTATAACATATTATATTACCTAAAAACTAATTTATTTAAGCTTTAACGTACAAAAATACGAACAATATTTTTGATATTGAAGAGGATCAAGCTAACCGTAGCATATAAAAGCATAAGCTATCACCCGTGTTTCCTTTGACACAATTTTACGCAGGCGCGTACATTTAGAAACGTTGGAATTTCACGAATGCACGAACACGTGTGTACGCATGGTTTCATAGTAGCATATGGTCGTCATAAAGCCAATGCTCCATAAAAACATACGTTATAGAAAACAGGTTTGGCGTCGCAAATTCTAATATCTTATTTTTTTGCGCATCGTTATTTTAAATGCAAAAATAAATCGCACCATTTAAAAGAAATTTTTCCCGACTAAAACTTCTTATATCACACGTCATTATAACTAAGAATAATAAAAGCATTTTTTACAGCAAAAACAGTTTTTTAAAAATTTTAATTTAATTATACAACATTCTTGCATACAGAATTATTACTATATGTAATAACTACTATTATATTGTGTTACACATATTTGTTTATTCAATAACGCGAAAAATAATTTGACATTTACTACATATGTCTATTTACATGTGAATACACATGATATGTGTTTAAAGGTGGACAATAAATAATATTCTATAATTATAATAAAAAGAAAATATTTGCATGATTTTCATGCGATATTCAAAATTGCCATATTTTATTTCTAAAAAGAACTGCAGAATTTACTTTTCTCCTTATATTTGAGTGAAATGTCAAAGCGAGAAATACAATGGTAAAGATTTGAGTGAAAATAGACTGGGAAATATGCACTCAGAAAGAAACACACGGAACCGAGACACGAAGTGCCAGGCAGCGTTACTTGCGAATTTAATTCTAGCTTTACAAATCCTGAGCGTACTGTAGACAATTACGAGATAATTGTTAATACGACTTGCAATTTGCACTACGGCTGGTGCCGCGCCTCGTTTAAACTCTCGTGTGCTTAATTAGTTCCTATTTTGCCTGTGAAGCGTTACGGGTTGCATATCTCGACACATAGAGCCGCGTTCGCGTTCGAGTGCGTCTGAGGACATCCTCTAATACTACCCTCGCGTTTTACAAGGGTCGTTTCTCTCAATTTATATTTCTAGTCACGTCCTTCCGACGTTAAAATAGAAAAATGCGTAAACTTATATATTTTTCTCATTTATAGGAAATCTAAAATGAGAACAAAGAAAAAATTTTAACAAACAAAATTAAACGTACTGCTAAATTTATTATCATATGTATAAAGATGTAAGAATATAATCGTATATATAAAATTATAAGACATTTTAATTGTAAAATTATAAAACACTATAAAAATACTAATTAAAAAAAAGAATAAGAGATCGGTCTAAAAATCATGCAGAATTAAAACATAATTTTACACAAATCTAAGAATATATAACAAAAATAATTTGGCAAAAAAATTGTAACTATCAATCACGATATATTGGCTTTATTACGGTGACCAAATTAGTGGCGCATTTCTATCAGTACAGCTCCGTCGGATCTGGTAAAGTCTATTTTTAATGGGACCAGCGCTCGAATTGTCTCAGAAGCTCTAAATGTATTTATGCGGTAGTTAGCCCCTCTCATATATGTATGTATGTCGTAGATTTTGTCGCTACATTGCTTGTAATATATTATTACGCAAATATCATGTAAAATTAAATGACCTGAATAAACTCATATAAAAATCATAAATTATATCAAAAATTTTCATAAAAAAGTTACAGTGTGTTAAGCACAATAATATTTATATCCTTTTT